ATATAATTGTTTATTTATATGTATCTAGCTTTTTGTTTGTTTTATTCATATAGCACATGTATACATATTTTATTATAAACAAATATTTGTATTTGAATTTTTCTCCAGTGCCACTCAATTCTCAACCATACCTTCGTATTTAGTTAATTTCATTATTTAATTTTAGTATGAGTTTTCTTTTTTATACAAACCAATTAGGTTTGCGTTTACACAGTTATATTGGGAGTGTGCAAACATTAATTTTTTCAAAAGAAAATGCTTTTAATAATCGTTTTTAAAAAATTTTTAGCAAATAGCAGAGCCAAAGCATCACAAAGTGAAAAACTTTTTATACGCGTGCTACTTCTTTTCAATAATTTTCAAAACAAATATAGCAGGGCGTACTAAAATAACAAATCTCCTCATTGCGCAATGGCTCAAAAAATGTGGAAGCTGGTTTAGTTAGCGGCATAAGTTTCTTATTATTATAGCGACTTAAGTTACTAGAAGAAGTTGTATCCTTATCATAAGCCTTTAAAATGCCCAGAAAATGTTGTGCTAACGGTTGTAACTCAAGCTATGACTGAGTAAAAAAAAGAACAACTACTTTCAGATTACCAAGAGATCCAGAAGAACGTCAGAGATAGATTAAGGCAATACCAAGAGAAAATAAACCAGACAAACATAACACTGTAGTTTGTGCAAAACATTTTACATTAAACTTCCAAGTTATTAGAGTAAAAGGAAGAGAAAGACCTTGAGATCCACCCAGTGTATCCACCCAGTGTATCCAACCAGTGTATCCACCCAGTGTATCCAACCAGTGTATCCACCCAGTGTATTCAAATTAATTCCCAGGAGTTTAGTGCTAACTCCTCTACCAAAAAAAAGAACAACAACAAAAGATAAACTTTCAAAATTCGTAGAGCTTGAGAAGAATAATTCATTTGAAAAAATTTTCAAATCTTTATCTCAAAGAAACCTTAATGATTTTGGTCGTTTATTATACTTCTTTGAATTGCTGTTGTATTCAATCAAAAGAGCACGAAAATAATACCGGTATTTATAAATTTTGTCTAATAGTATTTAATGACCAATCATATGTCCAGCTCAATAAGTCTATTAAGCTGGAATTAGATGTACTATTCGTTACTTAAAAATCGTATTCATAAGTTCAAATGTTGGTCACAAGTTTACGAGGCATTACACTATTTGATTTCCTTTAAAAAGACAGTAAAGAAAACAATTTTACTTCAGCAAGTTCAAAGCATGATTAACATGAACTCAAGTAATATTCTTGAGCAAAAATATTCTCCTGAGGTTATTGTTCGAGCATATGAGTATTTGCACGGTCGCGTAGCTTATATAATCAATTAAGAAATGATTTTCAACTTCTTAGTTTTGCTACCCTGACACGTATAACTTCAAATGTTTTACACATTGGTGATAAAAAATTTATTTGTAGTATTTTTTCAAAACTCAACAATGGTCAAAAACACTATATTATGTTACTAAATAAAATTTATGTCAAACCTATGCTAACTTATCATGGGGGCTGTTTATGCTGACTTATTACTGGGGACTGTTTATGTTAACCTATCACGGGAGTAAATGTTTAATAAAGCATTAAAGGATGAATCAAATCTTGAAAAAACTATATTGGCTTTCATGTTTGTAGGTTTTCATGGAGGACCAAAGTTTTTATTTAAAATGTTACCAGTAAAAGTTTTTTTTTAAATATATATGTATTTTTGCTGTTAATGATTCTTCTTTTATTAGGCTCATGTCTGCATTTTCGAGTAACTTATTTTGACAATCAAAGAACAGTTTTTCAGCAGTGCTAATAGGTTTAAAATTATGTGACGTTTCTTTTTTAAAAGTTTTTTCTACTACGTGACGTTTCTTTTAAAAGTTATTTCTTCTATGTGACGTTTCTATTGAAAGTTATTTCTACTATGTGACGTTTCTTTTGAAAGTTATTTCTTCTATGTGACGTTTCTTTTGAAAGTTATTTCTACTATGTGACGTTGTTTTTTGAAAGTTATTTCTACTATGTGACGTTTCTTTTGAAAGTTATTTCTACTATTTGACGTTTCTTTGGAAAGTTTCTTTTCTACTTTGTGATAAGCTTTAATGTAATAAACCACTTTTAGATATTCAGATAGTGGTGTTGTTTCCAAAAGGAGTTTCAAATGTATATTCGTACACAATATTGTTTTACATTTCAGGGGACAGTACAATTTTTCCATTAAAACTAGTCTTTAAACTGTTTAAATTATACTCTTTTGAGATTAAATTTGAAAAAACATCCTCTTTTGAAAATATATTTTTTAATGTCCTGTCTTTACTTAGTAGCACCAACACCTCGTAATCTATTTAACTTTTTAGCACCTTCTGTTTTTACAATTGTATTTGTCCAACCATCCATTTTTAGATAAGTATTTTTGTAAAATGTAGCACATTTTGCAAGCCAAAAAAGGTAATACGGTAATATTGTAGCTACCCACAAATTTCCATGAAAAATCTATGAAAAAAACCCATAGAAAAACTATGGGTATTTGGAACACACTTTCATGGAAAAACCATGGGTTATCCATAGTAAAAATAGCATGTTTTGTTTTCACGTTTTTTTGATCTAATGTTATTTAAATTGTCATATTAAACCATATAAAGCAAATTTTATCACGCAAGTCGCTAAAATTTTTGAGTTTTTTTAATCTATGGGATTGCTTTCAACAAATAAAATCAATAAACATAAAATTTAAAACTTGTTGAATCCAACAAATCTTTGGAAAATAATAGCTCCAATGCACCTAAAGCACTAAAACTTGACTTCACCATAATATTTAACGCATGCATATGTTTAAACATACTGAAAATAAATAAAACAAAAAATTACATACTGCAAATCATCCATACAACATGTTCAATCCAAAAAATCATCAATAACTGTATCTGTAGAACAAAATAACTGTATCTGTAGAACAAAATAACTATAACCATTTAAAACTGTATCTGTTGAACCAAATAGACTTCAAACAAAGTACTTTTCACATTTTGATATTTATACATCATACAGTTAATATATACATACTAACTAATTTTCTTTATTTACTAATTTATTTATACTTATAATTATTATCGATTATAACTTACTTTATTAAAAAAACCATGGTTCACCGATGGAAATTCCATAAAATTTCTGTTTTTCCATGGGAAAACTATGGTTTACTCATAGAACTCCATGGGTTTTCCATGGAATACCCATGGAATTCCATATAATATTTCCGTAAGGGTAGTTGCACCCGTCATAACTAAATTGAGTATAAGTACATAGCACCATACATGTATGTGCTTAGTAAAAACTTTTGTTAGTCACATAAAAAATCCTTTTGACATATTACTTGCTCCATCGATGGAACAACTAACATGTCAAAAGTTTTTTTTCTAAGTGCTGATGCATTAGTGCTGTCAGAAATACACTTTTCTACCTCAAAGTTATGATTTTCCAGATTTTATTTTTACAAACAACTTTTTATCTTTTCCAGAATGACATTCAAAAAAAGATAACAACCTTTCTTGCACATTGTCCAAAACATCTCATAATGAGGGATAACGGATCCATTATTTTTGAGATAAATGTAAAATAAAACTAAAGAGCCTTATACATGACTTTCAGGAACTTGTTTTGCAGAACGTCGACATTTATTTTTTTTAAATAACTTTTTCCAAAAGTTATTTTAATCCATCATTATGTTTTAACAAAAAGAGCAGCAATTCCAAGGTATTTTCGTGATCTTTATCTTCAAGTAAGTGATTAAATATGCATACCTGTGAGATCTGTAATCAAGACCTCTCTGTGTATTTAGTATGGTACTAAAAGCTGAAAGGTTTAGCCTATTACTGTTTATGGTACTAAAAGCTGAAAGATTTAGCCTATTACTGTTTGTGGCAGCGATTAAATCAAAAAACTTTTGTTAAATTTTCAAGACAAAATATTCACTTACACTAATTTTACGACTAATGATTGTAAAAAATACAAGTTAATTTTTTAACTATACGTTTTATGTACCGTATGTACTTGAGTACCGTATGTACTTGAGTACCGTATGTACTCGAGTACCGTATGTACTCAAGTACCATATGTACTCGAGTACCATATGTACTCGAGTACCGTATGTACTCGAGTACCGTATGTACTCGAGTACCGTATGTACTCGAGTACCGTATGTACTCGAGTACCGTATGTACTCGAGTACCGTATGTACTCGAGTACCGTATGTACTCGAGAACCGTATGTACTCAAGTACCGTATGTACTTGAGTACCGTATGTACTCGAGTATAAATCAAAATGTTACTATCTTAAAGGATTAAAAATATTAAAACAAAAGGATTCGAAAAAAGAATAGAAAGAGCTGCAGTTATTCCAATGAAAATATGTACGCGGTTTTGAATCACCATTTAAAAGTTGACTTTTAAATGATGATTCAAATAGACTTTTATTTATAAAATTAAAAAATATTTTTTTGAATAAAAATTGTGAAACTTTTTTCAATATTCTTATTTCAACTTAACGCGGATTTCCAATTTATGATTTAAAAAGTAACTAAAAAATGTAACACCAGCCCACCGGGACCCGGTAAACCGGTGGGCCAGTCCGCCACTGGTATAATATTTTATTGTTATTGAAAGTTGACTTGATAAAACTTTAGCATCTATTTAAAAACGCTTTAACACTCCTATCATATTTAACTGTATATTTTGATTTGCATTTATGTTTATCGTTTATAAGTATTATGAAAAATAAACATTTTTCTAGTGATATATTTATAATAGTACAGTGTAATACTGATGTTGAAAGACTTCTGTTTTGCATATTTCATTTTAAAACATAGTTCGGAAATTATGAAAAAAAAGTAAATTAAAGCATTAGCGCATAAAACTCCTATGGAATTAAATATTTTTATTAGTAGTTCTTGAATCATAATAAGTTAATTAGTCGCGCCGCTGTTTACGAGGAATGGCCGAATGGTATTTGACACAACACGCATGACATAAACTTACTTGATATAAGTCTGATTGACACTTTTCCAGAGACAGTAATTTACTTTGGAAACATTGTATGAAACAATATTTAGATAAAATCACCAATAAGCTTTTTGGAATAATATAAAAGCAACCATACTAAAACTCCTTTGCTAAAAGTAATTTAAATTAATTCAGTAAATAGTTTAATTAAAATTTTTAGTTAAATTTCCAAAAGCAACAGCAAGGTGATAAAATGAAACGTTTACTTGGAGTAGCTACTGCTTTATGTTTAGTTTTTATATTCAAAGATGTCAACCAAGTTTTAGAGAACAATGGTATTATAAACCCAGCCGAAAACACTGCATTCGTTTTCTCATGTAAGAAAAAAACTCTTCACTTTTCATTTATTTTTTATATGCTATTTAACAAGTTTCAATTACTAAAAAATTTAATGCATAAAAAAAAATTTATTTTAAATTTAAAAGTTTAATCAAAACATAAAGTTTTTAATGAATTTAAGTTCTTTAACTATCTAGTTTCCGCCGGACACTCTAATTTGTTCAAAAGACACACTGAAAACAAAAGAAATAGTACCCTAGAGACCCATCTAAAAAGAAACGTTAGAAGACGAATAAGGAAACATAAACGAATACTGAAACATTTAGAGGAACAATTACAGATGTTGTTTACAGCAGAAAAAAACAGTGATTACAACAAAACAAAAAAGCAGAAAGTACAAAAACAATACAACATTAATAAATGTTTAAAAAACTTATATTTATAATATTTTTTTCTGCTACACTCTATTTAAAACTATTATTCATATATTTTTAATTTCATCTGTTTAAAACTATTATTCATATATTTTTAGGCAAAAGTATATTTTTTAATCTTTGCATAAAAATTTAAAGAAGCGATTCTTTAAATTTTGTTTTACTTATTTTCACAATAATAGTTGGAATTTTTTTGTGAATGTTCTCCAACATATATTTATTTTCATGAATAAATAAGGCCTTATTTATTCCTGTAAATAAAAAGGCCTCATTTATAAAGGCGTTTTATAAAGGCCTCAAAATATAAAGGCCTCATTCTCATGAAGCAACTCCTCCCCCCCTCCCCCAGTTTTGGTTTAAACATTTTTTGTTACGGCGAAGCGTTTTGTTCAAAACGCGTACTAGAGGTGTACCGGATATATTTTTACATATCCAGCCGGAACTAGATAAGCTGGATATATATTTTAACATCCAGATATGCCGGATATGCCGAATATATTGAGTATTGTAGGGGAATAGGAGGTCAGGGTCTTGAGATGCTTCCCCCCTCCTCCCTAGAGATAACCTGTTACCGTGACCGATATTCTTAAATACCACTTATGTTTAAGTTTACCCAGTTAAGTTTTATCTGAACTTAAGGAGTTATTTTAAAATGGCGTCTCTTTGTTAAAGGCATTTTTAAAATATTCGAATTTCAATATGGGTGTAACTAAGGTAGCGTATACTAATTTGGATAAGCATAAAAAACTTTTTATTTAAGATTTAGGTTGCACTTTTTTTTCTTTGCAAATTTTTAGTTACCGTTACTGTGTTAATAAGTTCGAATTTAATTCTCTTCGCTTTTGGTCATTAACAACCTTTGCAGTTTGGTTGAACACATAGCAAATCGATCAATAATGCCTTTTGATTGCAAAGACTCCAGTATATCTCTTTTGCTAGATAAAACTGTTAGAGATAAAACCAATCATTGATCATTGTGCTTTGTAATCGATTTTTTATAATTTTTACCTGACTCATTGCAGGCTGAGCTCTGCAACTTGTTACCACTCTAGTTGTCAATATTTTCACAAAGCAAAGTAAATTAGGAAACAACGACAGTACTTCTAGAGCTCGCAATAGCTTAACGAAACTATAGTCAATCATTTGTTAGAAGTTTAATCATCATCAGACACATCCCATTTGTCATCATTTTCACAATCCTCGTTATTACTTAGTTCTTCAGATTTGTTTGTACATGGTGTTTCAAGTCGCTGTTGCTGTGATTTTTCCTTTTTGTTGGAATATATATCCCCTTTACTAACAAAGTCAACAATTGACTGAAAAACTGGCAAAAAATCAATTCTTTCATTTACAATGTCTTTTGCATTCAAGTCATAAAAGTTACAAATGTTTTGTATTTGATACGGACTAATTATTTCAGATGATAACAAACTTTTAGTTGTGAAATAATGTAATTCTTCTAAAAAAGAAGTATCACTATCACTGAACCTTTCTTTCGTCTCTTGCAAAATGACATCTAATCGATGAATTACAACCCCTAATTTAAATGCTTGTTCAGGATAATTGATACGTTCATCAGCAGCCGTCTTCCCTGGCATGAGTTTTGTCTTTCTGTTTCTTTTTGGTTTGAAGTTGGTGTCAATATTGCAAAAAATAGAAAATTCTATTGCGGATTTTTTAATGTCACGGTAGAGATCATCAACATTGTTTCTCATATTTTTCAGTTTTTTTATACAAATATTAACAAGTGAAACTGTAATTGAGAGATCTACTGCTTTGGCTTACAAAATACGAGAAACTGGCCCAGTTTACAGTTTACACTTTATACAGCTTATATCGTCTACTTTACATAACAGCCTATTTGTTGAATTTATTATCTCTGAGCTATGAATATTTGTTGACAAAAATTCCAAACCATCAACAATGCAGTCATAAAGATCAAGCAGGGTTTTAATGCCGTCTTCTGCTGATCTCCACTTTCGGGTTGTATCAGAAACTCTTTTCAACGATTTTGTATACTTTCAAATAAATATTCCGGTGGGATAAAATATTTCTTCCCCTCCCATAATAAATGTTTCCACTATAAAAAATTTACTAAAATTTTTGTTTTTTAAAAAAATTACGAGAATAAGAAGGAAAAGAAATCAAAAAACCCTATTTTGAGAAAAGATTATTGTAATGCTATTTTAATAATTAAATAACAAGCATAAACGGTAATTATTACCTATTCCAGGGGTCGGAAACTTATTTTAAGAAGAGAGTCATTTTTTTTAAAATAATTTTGAAAATCTTCTAAAGAGTCAAAACGATAGTAGTTTAATGCGTTTTAACAACATTTTTGGATTGTAACATATAATTAGGACAACCTAAAGAGCCGCACAGTTTAGATAAACGAGCAACGTGAGGCTCGCGAGCCGCGGGTTGCCGAACCCTGACCACTGACCATACCAAGGAACGTTGATATGCATGACAGATCATGATGCAGATTTTTTAGAGTTTTGTATTTTAAATAAATTAACAAAAAAAAAGAACAAAATAAATAAAAAAAACCTAATTTAGAACAAAAAATGCACTTGAAAATAATAAATAACATGTTTTGAATGTTTATAATTTGCTTCCCTTTCTTTTTTTCCTGGGATGTATAACCAGAACGTCGCTTTCTACTTTTTTCCATATTCTTTTTCAGGGCTGATGATACGGGTTTCAAAGTGGGGGGGGGGGGGCGGAACAATTGTCAATTTCTAGAAAAAGATCTCTATATGTAGAATTTTCCTTTTGCAAATATAAATTGCTTTTATTTTGTTTAACTATTTTTAAAAAAAGGGCCGACGACAACGGGAGGAAGAGGGGGAGGGGCAGGAAGCATGTCCTCCCCCCCCCCACACTTTTTTTCCTTTAGAAAAAAAGTGTGTGGGGGGGGGGGGGGGGAGGACATGCTTCCTGCCCCTCCCCCTCTTCCCCCCGTTGTCGTCGGCCCTTTTTTTAAAAATAGTTAAACAAAATAAAAGCAATTTATATTTGCAAGTTTGTACTTCTATATAACAAGTTGAATAATAAACATTCGCGAATATTCTTGTCGTTACTAAAAGCAAATAACTATAATAAATATAAAATGCAAGTTATTTCATAAAAATGATTCGCAATTTTATCAAATTACTTTACTAAGCTTAAAAAAAGATTTGAATATCTAGCTCATAAAACGTCCATAAAAACATTTAAAAACGTTCTATTATGTTAACCATTAAAAGTATACCGTAGAACGGGGTGACTTTCATACGCGGGTTGACTTTGATAATTTCGTCTGTTAGTTACAAAAATAATGATTTGAATGTGAAATTGCACAATTAGAGACTATTTTTTTTTTTATTCTTGTACATAATTATATTCTGCTAATATTTTTGAAATTTTAATGATTGTGAAGTGATTCTAAATTGTGCAAATGTGTTAGGAATAACATGGCTATAACAAAAAAATAACGATTTTTACACGTACCAAAAAATGCCAAAAAATCTTGTGATTTTAATTTTTTTGAAATTTTTTTTCTAAAAATCTATACTTAGATATTCAAGTGGTATTTTCCAGTTATAATACCACTGGAATATACCATTCGTTTTTGGTTACTCTCAATCACATTTGCAGAAAAATCAGTGTAAATCAGGGTAAATCAGTACTTAATATTTATATGCAATTAGTATTATTTTTTTGTTAGTGTTATTTTATAACTGCTAATTACTATAACAATGTTATTGATATATTATTTTTCTGTGTTTAGCATATTAACATCAAATTTATTTTTGTTTTTTCTTTGTCCATTCTGTAGATATATTCGATAACCAAACTTGTTGTCTAAATTTATAATTTTACCAGTAAATCTTATAAGTTTATTAATATGTTGTGTTCTAATTTAGTAAAAGTCAAAAAGAAAGTATTAGCGACACTGTGAAGAGGGTTAAATCAATAAGCCATTAAGAAATAATAGACTATCAAAGTCACCCCAAACGACGGGGTGAGATTGATAACATTTTGGATTAAAAATATATATATTAAGACAAAAAAAAAATTAAAAATACTTAATGGAATTATATAAAGGAAAGGTATAATGTTATAACGGGAAAAAAAAAATCAGAAAATATCGTAATGAACCAGATTTATTTTTCAAAAATGCTCAAAATCCTAACAAAGTCACCCCGTTCTACGGTAGTTTTAGAAATTTGTTTTTAATTTTTTAAAGAAACCGAGTAAAGAACAATGACATTCGATTTTTTTATGATTGATGCGTTTGATTCTTGTGAACTTTTTTTTAATGTAGTTTAATTTAGCGTTTAAACCAACTGCACCCTCCCCCCCCCCCCTCCGAGTATTGAGTAAAGTCTCAACCTTCCCCCCCCTCCCTGTTTTGAATTTTATGAAGCAACTGCCTCTTGAGTAAACAGTAGCTTATGTCAAATAAAGATGCTTTGCAAAAAATTGCGGTTATCGGAATCTAAGAACAAAATAGCACCGATATTTTTGATATAAGAGTCTTCCTGGAAGGGAAAACCAATACAGCAGAAACAATTATAGAAAACTGTATCTGACATCAGAACTAAAAAGCATTAAAAACTGGAAAATGTAAACAGAGAAGCAACACAATCTACCAGTAACGAAAAATTTTATTACTCAATTTTAGTTTGTTTGGCTCTCCTAAATCAGATGCATGTTTATTTTGCGAAGGAAATTCGGAATTCGAATTTCGAATTTGGGAAAGGAATTCGACACCAAATAAAATGTGAAAATGATTTGGAAAGAAAGAACAGTTTAATTACTAATTTATTGTTCACAAATGAAGAACAAATGCACTCTATGATCTTCTGAAGGAACAAAGAGAGGATTTGACAATTGTTAGCTTTGACCATCAGAAAAACTAAATCATCCATAAAGTTCCTGACCATCAAGCTTATTACATTAGACTTTTATACATATTCAACTTTTGTATTGTAGAAAATAAAAATAGTGGATGTTTGAAGATGAAGATAATGTCACTATCTATACTAGGAATGAGAACAA